ACAGGTATAACTGGTATAAGGAGTGTTGAAATTTTGTCTGTAGAATATCAGGTAGCAAAGATATGCTAACAAATTGCCTACTTCAGACGCCACTCCTATATGTTGTGTATTCTGCTACAGTGATCTACTCATCCCCTTTGCAGCTAAACCAATTAGGAACCACTTAAAATGCGAAGCACTCACGTTATACGCCACACGGTATCATAATTAGATACCTACTTCTCATCAAGCTTTCATTAAACTTGTTTGGAAATATTATGTTTGAATTTAATCATAAATATCATAGAATGAGGTAATTTTCTCTCCAGAATTTGAAACAGGTGTAAGTAGACTTCTTTATGAAGGTGTGATTGGACTGTATTGGTAAAATATGGGTACACTTTCGTAGGTTATTTAAATACTCTATTACTTATACCTTCTTAAGAGTTACATTTTCGCAGGAGTTACGTACGGCGGGATGTCGGGCCTCGAAGAGGTGTTGGAATGGGGTTGAATTATACAAAAATTTGCTATAAATATACTCTTCTTTTTCATACCTTTAACCCAAATCTTTTACTTACCCTATTTTTTTTATGAGATAAGTCGGTAAACAAGCTTACCGATCGCCTGATGGTAAGCAATCGGCGCCGCCCATGGACACCTAAAACACCAGAGGCGTTACGTTACGTCTAAACACGTAAAAAGTACAACAACAAAAATCCAACATCAATCAAACCGTAAATTTAAACGTAACGCTTTCTTTTTCATTACAAATATGGCCGCCAAACACCTTCTAACCTAAATATCACCCCAAACATTTAAATATACATAAGGAAAATAGGGATAGTCCATCATTTGTCACAGGAACTAAGTATATGGGGTAAAGCAGGTCATGGCGTGTTCCTATAATAAAATTATTAACAGGAGACGGGCAAGACAGGGTGCGTCGCTTAAGTCATAGAATGGAATCGTTTGATTTCATGTGATGTCGGTCAAACTAATTTGTACCGTCACTAATTGGAACAGGAATGCTTTTACCATTAAATGGGACGTGAACTTGATATATGGTTGCTGAATGCTTAGATATAGGTATGCTTAGGTAGTTTAAGTAAGTGATGCAAGATAGGTATTCTATATTTACTGTTAATATAGTCTTTAGTACAGTTTGCTTGTGTTTTAAAAAGGTGTTTTTTATGAGATAAGCCGGTAAACGAGCAGACGGATCACCTGATGGTAAGCAATCGGCGTCGCCTATGTACACCTGGAACACCAGAGGCGTTACAAGTGCGTTACCGGCCTTTTGGGAATTGGAAATTTGAGGATTGTGGAGGATTCGGGAGACGGGGATTAGGGAGGGGGGTAATTGGGCCTCCGGTAACCTCACTCACACGACGAAACACAACGCAAGCGTTGCTTCACGTCGGTTTTCTGTGAGGCCGTGGTATCACCCATTTGTGCCGAAGCATGGTTCTCCCACACTTATTATTTCTTTACTTTCACAATCGTGCTAACCCAGTAATGGTAACATAAATATAGCTTACTAATCATGGTAAATTGACGAATCAATATGCGTGGGGTTTGTTCCTGGTAACGAATTTGTATCAGCCCCCGTTCCTCGGCTCCCTATAAGAAACCCCTTGCAATACAATATGCAGCGACTTCCGGGCGCCAACACACCCTTCGTTCGACGGCCCTACCCTACCACCGACCTGTCATTTCCGGTGAAATTTGACAGAAAAAAAATAAACAAAGAACTTTTTTCCATTTATAGGTACCTATTATGTAAAACGGATAATTTGTAAGTACCTATACCAATACAGAAATGGTTTTTCTTATAGAGTCATAATGAAGCAAAGGAAAAATATTAATAGCAATCGCTTTATTTAAAAAAAGGTAGTTGAAAAAAATATCTAATAAAAGTATGATTATGAGCCCCCATCGTAGCTTGAAATTAGTCGAGTAACCCTTCTTATAACAAATTACAAAATCGGTGTCGCCGTTGCATACGCCTACACACATACAAACATGTCAGTTTTTTAATTGAAAGCGATCCATGATAATACTTACTTTAAAATGAAAACACTTTATCCGATACCTAGAAAACTAGCTTAGAACACTTGCGTATAAACAGCAGACCAGCGGGCAGACCACTTACGAGATTACTCTTTACTTCTTATTTGTTAGTTCTAACTCAATTTAGCAAATGGATCTTTGATTGTACAACTTTACTAGGAAATATCTTTTCTAGTTGTATTGTCTAATCTAGCTATCAACTAGACTAGATAGCTATCGGAATCTACGATAGAAACTCATTTAGATAGTTTTAGATACCATAAATGCTTTAATGAAAATGTTTTCTTCTTTTTACGTTTTATCAATCAACTTCTGCCTGTTCTGGCAGTATATGTACTTGGACTATCTCTAGAAAGAAGATTTGACAATGTCCCCTCACTATACATAGATCTCACTACAACTTAAATGTAACAAATTCTTAAAGAACGTGGGTATTTATACTTAAACTCTTTTTATCTTAGTGTGGAAATAACACCAAAAGTGAAACTTCTTTAGAAGTTATGTGATAGAATGACGCATTGACATCTGTACATGTCACTTTTTTTTACGTGTAATAAAGTATTTTCTACTCAACACTGGCAGTATAGTCAACAACACTGTATTGGATACTCGATTGCCATTCAAGAAAAAAAAGTATTTGTTTCTCTATTTCTTCTTTCTATCTAATGAATATTAAGGCAATGTTCTTACGACGCTTTTTATACTTCTTTGTCCACTATTGCAATAGGTGACCGTGTTTCTGTAATTCACAGAACTAAATATGAATAATAAATGCCAGTTTCCGGGGTTACAATGGTCTGTATCATAAATTGACGAACTATACTTTAAAGTTTTTATGTTTTTTATACAGCTTGGGACAAAATATTCAGTACACATCACAGATATATTAAAGAGTATACATAGACGAAAGAGATTTCTTTTTTTAATTAATAAAAAATACAGTTGCAACAGGAGGCCCAATTACCCGAGTTCCCGTCCCTAGTAGGATTCCGTACTAAATCCTAGGTTCCCTTAGGATTTGAATCCTCCGCAATCCTCAAATTCCCAATTCCCAAAAGGCCCGTAACGCACTTGTAACGCCTTGGTGTTTCGAGTGTCCATGAGCGGCGCCGATTACTTCATTGCCATCAGGTGATCCGTCTGCTCGTTTACCGGCTTACGCTATAAAAAAGGAACTTTCTCTAACTACTAGTATCTTTCCTATCTAGGGTCAGACTAACAAATTATAGTTCACACAATGTGCTTGTGAGAAACGTTAGCAGCCAGTCGCCCAACAACTAGACCATAGGTAAAAATCAATTGGTGACATAAATTTATATTGGAAGCATTGGAGCTACAGCCATTGTAATAACCAAAACGATCTTCACTCAGTCGGTACTCTGATGCTCCTAGGAATACAAACAGGTTTTAAAATAGTGATGCACTTATTCTAAAAATGATACTAAACACGTGTTTTGACGCATTTCTTTCAAAACAGCTGGCGTCCTCGTCATCCTAAGAATGTTGCCAATTTGTATGAACTCCATCTTGTCATGACATGACTTGTTACACCCACTATGTCTGTTCGCCATCGCCAGTAATGGCTGATTGTTTAGGATATCTTAATAGATTGTTATCATGTAGCTTGTAGATTAGTTTTTCAAGGTTAGTCTCAATCTAAGTATCTGGTTTTGGCTACTAGCTGTTAAGAATTACCTCTATTATCATGATCTAACTTTACTCTTACCTAGGTAATTGTTGTTAGCTATCGGTGTTTTTTCATGAAGAATATGAAATGTTTGTAGGGCATTCCATTTGGTACCGATGTATAAAATAAAATTTCTATTTTATCTTTCTTATTACAGAAAACACGTGAACAATGAACATAGTTATATCAATGTCCTTTAGCAAATAAGTGTGTTTATTGTATTAATGGTGACAGTAATCATTTCTTCAGATAACTTATTCTTTTGACTTCCTCGTTGGCCGAGTGGTCGCAAGTGTGACTGCCATGCACACCTCTGTTGATGATGTACACCTCTGCCGACCCCTTTGGGGTTAAAGGCGGGAAGTTATATTATGTTGAAGATTCTTTATATTATCACTTTCGTGAGACATTTTTAATTAATTAAGTATTAAAAATTCTGACCATGAACAGTAATTTTATGATGAACAACCGTCAGTCGAGCGACGTAACAGTAGATTGTCTCCTTAAACCAATATTTGTCTTTAATTAATATAGTTAGCTCTTGTGTCAGTGTGATAAGCTTGCTTGATGCCTCGTCACAATCTGATTTTCATTAAGATATCTTTCGTCTGCTTTATTTTTTCATTCATGAACATAGTTACACTTACAAATTATTATATATACGGAGCGATACCACGGCCTCACAGAAAACCGACGTGAAACAACGCTTGCGTTATATTTCGTCGTTTCCCCTGTCTCCCCATTCCCCTAATACTCTACAATCTTCAAATTCCCAATTCCCAAAAGGCCGGTAACGCCCTTGTAACGCCTTGGTGTATCAGATGTCCATGGGTGGCGCCGATTGCTTATCATCAGGTGATCCGTCTGCTCGTTTACCATCTTATGTCATAAAAAACAAAAAATGCCTGTTTACTTTCTTGGTGACGCTCGCTTTACCATTTAAGATTCTTTTTATATGATGTTTTATCTACCTATAGTCTATACTTTTTCTAAATGAAAACGTTCATTTGATCCTGCAGTTTTCAAGAATATGAAATAAGCTCTTTAAATCATAAACGAACACAACTGTAAATGTTACTTACTTCTTACATTAAATCCCTACCATATTTTTATCAGACGGGTCAGTTGGCTCAGTAACTGGTCTGTAATGCAACGAGCAACGGGTTCGATTCCCACACTGAATAATTATTTACGACTATACGCGTGTTCTTTCAAAATCGTCTTTTGTAAACAATTTCTCAACCAGTGTCTTCTTCTGCAGGAAATGTGGGGAGAAGGAGGCGGATCTGGACTGCGTAGCAATAGGTAGCCGGCTGCGGGGAGCGATGGGGACCCGTCGGCCGGCCAAGTTCTGGCCACAGCTGTGGGCCACCGTCGTCAGGAACCTGCTGCTCAAGAAACGGGATACCAGAAAGACTCTAGCGGTTAGTGTTGAAATACAAAACCACATTATGCTCATACTTATTAGAATATAAAATTGTATATAATTCGAGAGCAAAGTTAAATTAGATTTTCCTAAAGTTGGAAACTTGGAAGTCAAGGAGGTGGTTTCTTTTGTGATGTCTGTTATCTAAAGGTTTATTAATCTCGGAGTTAATCGAAACCACTTAAAATTTAAGTTCCATCATATTCATCATATTTGGAGAGCTGATAATAAAAGCAATTTAGAACGTTCCAACAACAAATTATCTGGAAATAAATCAACTTAGCTCATTGGTAAGAACATGTCTTTAAATCTCTAGGAGGTGCTGGTACCGTTATACTCCCTGGGCGTGCTTATATTCCTGAAGATGCTGGTGCCAAACCCCAACTTCCCTGAGGTTCGGAAACCAGGCCGGCTGCTCAGGATACAGCATGACGCCTTCCCGGAGAACCACTCCGTTGCTGTTGTAGCTGACTGGCTCAATGCCAACGGAACTATGGTATGAAACACTTTATTTTACTAGACTATCACTCGTGTTATTTGGTTGACATAATTTATAATAATTAATATAACCCCTATCATTTCTCGAAGTACTAGGCATAGGGACCTAAACATCCAACTTTTTTTACCTGTTATGTAATACCATGTAGTACCATGTGTAAGTATAAACATAGATTTCTATGTTGTGTATATACAATCTTAATAACAATAGGGGCGTTCATAACAGTGTTGTTATGAACGCCAATATGGTGTATATGGTGTATACCAATTTTAATTTCAGATTCCATGATTCTACTGATAATTTGAAAAGCCGATAAAACATTTGCTTAATGCAAAAAGTTATATCTAATGTAGATGAGATTAACACGTTGAACGCCATGGGGGTCACCGGTGACCGGCGTTAGCGGAGGATTTACCTTCAACAGTTTTTTATTGGCAGTCAAAGTCTTAACTATAGACGATGTTACAGTTAGTTTGACATTTCTTTATATTCCAGGGTTTCCTGGAGGAGATAAACACATTGCTAGCAGAGTCCCACCAGCATCCGATCCGATGGATCAAGTACAACAACAACTCGGAGCTGAACGACGCGTACCACAACGACGCCAGGAACTTCCCCATCGCCGTCATCTTTCATACTGATCCTACCTCCAATATCGAGCCCCTTAGGTAAGGGTATTTTTGAACTAGTGATTAATTTAGAGAATTAATCTTTTATTATAATAACTATTGTGAGACATAGTAAATTAACTAAAATCACGGGTTACTCACTTGAATATACTGCAGCTTGTACTAGTTTTGAACCACAGAGGGGTTCTTCCTCATGAGCAGCGTGCGCGGTCGCGACGATGTCACGCAGCCTACTTTTTTTTAGTTAATCTTTTATCCTTAGTTTGTCGTCATTAATAGCCTTTTAGCCTTTGTTTGTCAATATTCAAAAGCCCATGAGAGAAAATTCCCGGACTCCTTTAGCTTTATGAGTTTGTAACCTTTCCTAGTGCTACTGCTTAAGGAGAAATCGAGATGACAAAGGGGATGTAGAAACGTAATCTTTCTGCTGAATGTGGACTAAACAATAATTTAAGTTTTCGGTAGGAAACCATAATTTGTGATCCTAGCTCTTATGAGTCGAATCATAGAAACAAAGTAAACTGATAATTTAAATCAATTTTTTTTTTGTTTAACGACAAATGTTTACACAAGTATCTATGAAAACTAGTTTAATTCTGAGAGTGTACATAATATATTTGATGAAATTCATAATCTCTACTAACTAGTATACCTATCCGAAACCAATAAATTGCATCACTGAACATTCAATTAGTTCACAAAAGATTGCAGTCAATGCATTGATTGCTCTCGACAATGAGTAACGAATGCAATTTGCGGAACTGCTGGCAATGTTCCGTGGGAAAATGCAGAATTTTGTCGATTGAATCGACAAATTGCGTAATTCTTTTGGTTTTTGGTTATTCTTTTACTGTGGTACTGTAACTATAATAAGTATATAGTTTCTTTCTCTGAGAGTCCGGGAGCAACAAAAAATCCTGGTCAAGAAATTATCATCCCGTATTATTTTAGTATGATTTTATATGCCTATTTCTATAATAAATTTACTATCATTGCTTAGAAAAGACGAGCTAGTTGTTATGATTTAACATTAGTTTATTTTTAAACATAATCAGTTCCACGTAAAAATTAGAAACAGAGATGAAATTATGAAATTAAACCCAATAGACACAGCGTAACATCCCTATTTAGATCACAAATATAAATGGTGCGTATCTTTAGTTCTAAATAGTACTAGGAAGGCGTAGGTAGATAGAACATTCTGTACGGCAAATGACGAGAATGATTGCCAAGAAAACCATTCTACTTCATTATTATCAACACTTGTCTTATGATGATGTCCTACAACGTCATTACGTGACACACTGCTAAATATTAAGCATTTGTGGTTGAGGATATTGTTGGACAGTTTATATTTTTGCTTTACAACTGTTAGTTGGTTTAATTAATATATGGAATGGATATCTTACCATAGTAGTTACCGTAGAACGAACTCCCGGTCGTGGTTTTCCCAGTAGGCTATAACATGGGGTTCTTCAAGAGGGGAGTGAATAGGTTTCTTTAGGATCGACAAAACGCATGTATGCCCAAGTGTTGCAGGCGTACATAGGCCACGGTAACCGCTTACCACACAGGTGGGCCGAGTGCTTTTTTGCCACCGTCGTGGTATAAAAAAAAGTAGTGATAGATTTTCATAGTGGTGCTTAAGATTTCCACAAATTCATTTTTCTATGAAGACCTTGTTATTCTTTCTAAACGTAACGTCTAACTTTCTTAGGGCTTCGTACCAGTTTTTTACGTTTAAATTATTCGAAAAAAGACCGCGTTCGGCGCTCTGATTGGCCGGCTTCAATGAACCAACCAATCAGAACGCGGTCTCTTTTCGAGTATTTTAAATGTAAAACAAACTCGCATTAAGGCTTCTTGTCAATCTACGGTTGTCGTAAGAGCCGAAGCTAAAGGACTGTACATTTAACAGAGACTAGCAGCGAACTGTTATAACCTAATCATTTTAAAATACGATCTCCTATTCGCATGGCAAAAAGTCTCATAAAGGATACTCTCGGAGTCGCGGAGAACCTAAGGGGTAACCGGGGCTCCCGCTCGAAGCGTAGGAGAAGGAACGGGGTGGTTTTTAGTCAGTAAGAGTCTGACACTCCCTCCCGCCTCACCCAGAAGGACAGTCATTCGATGATTTTCCCCCCGTAATAAAATAGGTCCTGATAATATTTTCCCCATGGAAATGTTCAGCAGGTAATGCCTCTGTTGTAACCATCTATCACCAATCTTCCCCAGGTATACAATCAGGACCAACCCATCCCACATAGGCACGCCGTCCACACGCATCCTCACGACCTCTCCAGCAAAATGCCGGGAGAGAACTGCCTCCAAAGACTGGTCCTCCGACTGGTCGAGAGGAGGACAACTCATTCCACTGTCAGAGATGCATGGAGAGGACACGTGCCCAGTTCTACAGTATTACTATTCAGGATTCTTAGCTTTGCAGACGCTTATAGATTATATTAAGATTAAGGTGAGTTTTTGAATGAGGTTTTTAATTTACTCAATCACACACACAATTTTATTACTGCTCTGGTTATAAATTATTATGTTTTCGGCTTACTCGCGTAATTATTTGACGAGGAACTTGACTAGTTTCAAGCCATGCTAGAGGCTCATATTTATGAGCAGCATTTCGCGACCTGTGACGCGGTGACTGTAGCGCTGCTACTGGCTACTGCTCTGGTTATTTATATTCAGAAATGTAAAAGAGCATATTTTACCGATTCATAATTAGGTATGTAATTTTTTCGTTAAATAAAAGGGTTCCGTCGCGATGAACATATTGTTGTGATAGCCATGCTTGCAAAAGAACATGCCATGAATAGATTTTTCTATTTTTCCTAATTAAAATGCGTACAAGAGGTTTCAATAGTATGTTGGAGCTCAGTTCATATCCAAGAGTAGAACTCTTATATTTAATTCCCTTCTACAAGTGAAAACTTCAACAAATAGATAAATAATTTCCCATTTCCACAGTTCGACACAGACGCAGCAATACCGCCTCCCCGGATAGACCTACGGCAGTTTCCCAAGCGTCAGCATACTGGAGACTGGCTGGTCATCTTCAGGGTCATCATGCCAATGTATATGGTGATGACCCTATCACAGTTCATCACATATCTGCTCATGTTCGTTGTGGGGGAGAAGGAGAAGAAGATCAGGGAAGGAATGAGGATCATGGGATTGAAGGAATCTGTTTATTGGTTAGTATCTCTGTCTTTTTATTGGTTAGTGATATTTTAGGGTAACTGTGAGTAGAGTTTTCTAAGGCCGGAAATTGAGGATCCACCAACCAGGCGAGGTGGACTGGCGGGCTTTCTGCCCAACGTACATTGAGATTTTTTATCTATGTTTATTCATACCAAACTTGTAATGCCAAACTTGCCATGCCAAACTTTACAAGTGCGATGTAGGACTTTTGTCATCATATTGATTTGTTCGTTGTTCGTCTATGCGCGTCGTCTGACTTCTGTCATTATTCATATGGCGACACAATATGATGATGTATGCTTCCTTCATACCAACCCGCATTGAGCAAGCGTGGTAATTAATGCTCAAACCTTGTCCATGCGAAAAGAGGCCTTTGGTCAGAAGTGGCCACTTACACGCTGTTGATGCTTCTGTAAATAAGATATAAATTATAGTATACACCTGTATTACCATTTGTATGTGACTTTACTTTAATTGAAATAATGTTTATCTGCTTTCAGGGGTTCCTGGTTCCTAATCTACGCTGTGTTTGTCACAATCTTGTCCATCGTCAGTACTGTACTGCTTTTTACGTTGAAGGTAAACTTAACGAACAAAATTACAAAATTGTTTATTACTTACTTTATTATTTTTATTTTAAACAAAATTATTGTAATATTTATACAATTATATGACCATATGGTGACTACCATGTAGTCACGGATTTCATACAAAAAAAATATATAAATTTTAGTTGTGGTTGTAATTTTATAATAAAACTACCAAAGAGTATTTATTCTTTACTGGAGTGAATAGTAAATAAAAAAAACTGGCTGAATAAACCCTGCTGCAGTCAACAAAAAAAGAAATAGGTAACTACATACATAAATAATTTTTTTCTAAATTCAAACTCTGACAGCGTGTCGAGCGGGAAATATTTTCCAAAAACGTTTTTTATTACAAAATAAATTAATTTAATTTAATTAATTGCAGGTGTTCCAGCATTCTTCATACATCTTAATATTTCTGCTGATGCTGCTGTTTGGCTTCACGATCATCACCTTCGCGTTTATGTTGACGCCATTCTTCGATCGGGCGAGGGTAAGCATTATTATTAAGTTAAACTTTTAAAAAACCTGACTTTCAGCTTTGGTTTCGGTCATAAATACCATGAGTGTATCTTTTATTTTAAAAATATCAGTACTCACGGGAACAGTTTTTAACATTGCAATAAATCATTCTTTGCATACAGTACGTATTCATTATAAATTTGTTTTTCTTTCCTGGCTATTAACATTATTATTCTTGTTTCCACCAGACGGCTGGTATCCTGGGCAGCTTTGCAGTGAACCTGATGAGTGGCCTCTACTTCATCCAAGTGTTTGTCTCCAATGCGGACTCCCTCGCCTTCTGGTTCGTCTCCCTCATCAGCTCCAGCTGCTATGCACTGGCTATGGATAAGGTAAGGTCACAATACTTGCCAATTTTTCATCTTATTGGTGTTTTTAAACGCCGGTATTTTACCCTATTTACCCTAATTGGTAGGTTTAGGTAACGATTTGAAAAACTTACAGCGACTGCATCGATTACGGCTCCATAATCTTAATCAGGCTAATGTTTTCAGATATCTTATATTTTAAAATGTATAGATAATTAATCAAATCTAAATCCAAATACCATTTAAGTATTGACTTCGATATTTTGACATTTCCCTCGTTTTATTTAAAAGGGATTAATATTACTCTAATGCTGTTTCTCTTCCAGGCTTTAGTCCTGGACATGGCTGGTGTGGGTGTGACTTGGGATAACCTTTGGAGTGGCCCAGGAGTTCCCTTCGGAGGCAGCCTCATCATGATGGCAGTAGACACTGTTTTGTATGGCCTGGCTGCCTACTGGCTGGATGCTGTTATCCCTAGTAAGTTTTTGGAGCATTGGATAATATCGTTGTTATTGTTACCAGGAGTTTTGTCTTAAACACTTGGATATAGGTCTTTCATTAAAATTATCAGCCAGGAGATATCTACTGTTGAATAAGAGCCTCTCTTTTATTCCTACACATGGAAAAGCAACGCGCCGCTTGATTGGCTTCCTACGACTCTAGTGATGTCACCGACAAATTATTTCATTATCTCACAATACCCTGCTCCCTTCCCTGAAAAATGGCAATATTTAACTATGGGAGTTTTTGATAACTAATGAACGTTATTAAGACAATTCCACGATTTTTGCTAAAATTATCCTCATTCCATTTAAACCATGATAAGACCAAAAATTGATCAATGATGATGATGATAATTATGAAACCTTCCTCCCAGGTGAATATGGTATCAAGCAAAAGCCATGGTTCTGCCTGCTCCCTTCGTTCTGGCTGGGCAGCAGACGCGGTAGGGTATCTGCGGTACACTTCCACTCTAATGGAGAAGCAGCTGCTCATAATAAGGACATCGAACCTGTACCTAGGTATGTAGAAGAATGATGTTTTAGTTGACCAAATGGTTTTGTGACGGCTTTTATCGTCGAAGGGCTAAGCAGAGGTGCACATTACGGCACTTATTGCCACTAAATAATGTATCACCCACATTTATGTTATAAGTCCCATGTAATAGGGGGTGAGCCTATTGCCATATACCGGGCACAATTTAAGACGGAGTCTTAAAACTGAGATTTTGTTTAAAAAAATCAGTAATACTTTGCCCGACCCGAAAATCGAACCGGAGACCCCTTGACCAGCAGTCGCTCTTGTAATCACTCGGCCAACGAGGCAGTCATGGCTGGTAGATGAAAGTGTTAATTCGTCAGTAAGCAACAGTTACTGTATTTTATTAGGAGTTTTAATAGCTAGTGGCTATTTACATCAGGTAACAAATAATAAAAAAGAGGGAATTCGTTGATGAATGTTAGTTTTTACCCAGGTTTTATGTCGTGGTATATTAAACTTTTGGCTTAAGGGAGCCACGTTCAAAAAGCATGTTACAAGCGTACCCAAATAAAAACAAAAACATCGTAGCCCTATTTACAATCAAAGAACTAGATGTTGCTTCGATTTGGGCTTCGTGCCAAATTAGTGGAACACCATTCTCCATAAAATTAGACTAAAGTGCCAAAGCGCCATTAAACGAGCCCTGTCGTATGCTATATGCTATCTATGATTAGATTGAAGTAATTAATGAGACATCAACAGAATGTAGGTCTTAAAATAGACACATTTCTTTTAGATTTATTCTTACGGCTGATAGAGTCCATTTTAGTATAACATTGGTGGAAATATTACCAAATTGAATGCACTAGGAGTTGCATCAGATATTATTGATTGATCAAATACAAAAAAAAAACAAAAATAAGTTTTCAAAAACTAGCCTGTAAATCTGTTAGGGATTTTAAACGAGATTCATATAAATATAGGCATCAATTTTATAGCGATTGAAAATACAACCGTAATACGTAAAACGTCTCGCGGAGAACCTAACGGGTAACCGGGGCTCCGGCTCGACGAGCAGGAGAAGGAACGGGGTGGTATTTCGTCAGTAAGAGTCTGACACTCCCTCCCGCCTCACCTAGGCGGGAGCAGTCATTCGATGATTTTCCCCCGTTAAAAACAAAATAAAGTACGTAAAACATCTGTGGCGCCCTCTAGTAACAGCAGTTTCTTACCAGTAAACCAAGTGCTCAGTCTAACTACAATAATAAACAATGTGAAGATTTACTAAGGACAAAGAACCATATCAATTCTTTTTTAGGGAACTTCAAGACAAAGAAGCCATCAGGATAGTGGGCTTACAAAAGAGCTTCAGACACTGTCGTAAACCTGAGATTAAGGCCATTGATAATATCGACCTGAGTATCTACGAGGGTCAGATCACAGCTGTGTTAGGCCACAATGGCGCTGGGAAGTCCACGCTCTTCAACATCCTCACTGGGTTGACGGCACCTACCAATGGAACTGCTTATGTTTATGGACTTGATGTCAGGTAAGTTATATTTTAAGGATTTTTGGGAATTAAATGGGTATTTTGGTAATTAATGATTGCTACATTCAAGTTTTTAAAGAGAGAGAAAGAGAGAGTGAGAAAAAGAAAGAGTTGATTGCCGTAAAATTGCAATGAAAGAAGTTATTTGCTTGGCTCTGTCTATTTATTTAACAGAAGCTTGTAGTTTTATAAAGTATTTCAACGGTTAAATCAGGTTTCATAAAAAAATGTTAAACAACTGATTAGAATTATCTACATTTTTAGAACACATAACATTACATAATATCACGCCTTTTACCTCCGAAGGGGTAGGCAGAGGTGCAAATTATGCCACTATTCAATGTAACACCCACTTTGCACTATTTATGTTATGAGTCCCATGTAATAGGGGGTGAGCCTATTGCCATATACCAGGCACAATTCCAGACTCCGTGCTACTACTGAGATTTTTTTTAAACCCAGTAATACTTTGCCCGATCCGGGAATCGAACCCGAGACCCCTTGCCCGGCAGTCGCACTTGCGACCACTCGGCCAACGAGGCTGTCATTTTTTATTATGATTAGAAACTTTCATTTAATACATAAATCATGTTTGTGACGCAGGGATCCCAACGACATGCATGAGATTCGTCAAATGATCGGCGTGTGTCCTCAACAAGATGTGCTGTTTGATCTTCTATCCGTAAAAGAGCATCTACAGTTCTTTGGTGCAGTTAAGGTAAGTTGCAGAAATACTTACACCAACACTAATTTTATTATTCCATTTACTACATACTACATAGACTATATTCATGCCTATAAAGTCGAAGTCAAAGTCAAAATCATTTATTTCAATTAGTCCAGGAAGGCACTTTTGAACGTCAACAACAAAAATTTAGAAGTGAAGCTAGTTGCTCATTCCATGGCGTAGATTCCTTTGTAGAAGAACGAGCAAGAAACTCCATAGGTTACTCTTTTTCAATCAGGTTTACAATACAATTCTCTAGTTACATAGTTTTATAGAATTCTCATTCTAGAGATCTACCAAGTCACACTAAGCTTGATACAATCTGATTAATATTTTCACGTTTTATCTTTTACAGGGTATCCCTCGAAAAAGACTGCCAGAAGAAATCCACAAAGCTCTTTCAGATGTTGGTCTTTTGGATCAAATGAATGTATTCGCTAAACATCTTTCTGGAGGACAGAAGAGGAAGCTTAGTATAGCCATCGCGTTTATTGGGGACCCTAAGGTATGGAACTTGGAATCATTCTAGAGTACGATAGTAGAACGTATTTCTACTTGAAACGGTACAACTACAATACATAAAACATCCTCACTATTAGAAAAGTTAATAACCAAAAAGTGTGAAATTTGTTAAAACTAAGAAAGTTGGCTATATTCTTAAGTCCATAAAAAATTTTTGACAAACATTTCCTTTGCTTTATGCTTTATGGTTGAAAATTTAATAGAGTCGAATCTAGTACTGTTAAGATGCGATAAATTCCTAGTCTAAATTGTGTGGGTACCTATTTTATCATTCATGACGGACATGTATAGGTAGATTTGTTGTCAGAAGATGCTGATGCCTTCCTTATCTTTCCAGATAATAATCCTAGACGAGCCTACAGCAGGAGTGGACCCGGTGTCCCGCCGACAAACATGGCGGATCTTGCAACGAGCTCGGCACGGGAAGGTCTTATTATTGACTACTCACTTCATGGACGAAGCAGACATTTTGGGGGATAGGAAAGCTGTCATCAGTAAAGGCAGAGTGAGTAGTCTATTTTTAATTAGGCTCATCTACAACACTTTGGTACTTGATGATGTTAAGCGATAATTATAAGTAATAGGAAAGTTTTTAGAAGATAATGTGGGTATTTGATATATTTACATCCCAATGATGGATTTTTGTAGTAGACTTTTGCTTCCATCCTTCCATGCAGGGAATATTGTGCTACAAATGTAACTCAATTTTATTTTTTTTCGACATTTTTGCAGGTTCGTTGTGCTGGCACGTCATTGTTCTTGAAAAACAAATTCGGAATTGGATATCATCTGACATTGGTCTTAGACGGTGAGTTTAGCGTCACATCTCCTTCCTTGTCATAATTCAAAGGATCATTCATTATTTCTAATCTTTACGTGGGAGAATCAGGACTGCATCCATAGCCGATATTGATTTACTTACCATCAGATGATTCGTATGCTGGTTTGCCGTCCTATGACATATAACGGATCTCGGATTATCTTCACGGACCGTTCCATTTCTGAAATACCTACCTAATCTGTTTTTGCTATACACAATTTGTCATCTTCTCTTTGTAGGAGTATGTCGGGAACATCAGATCACCCGACTGGTCCGTGGCCACGTGCCTCGCGCGGAGAAGGCGCGTCGTCACGGACGGGAACTGTCCTACATCCTGCCTCACTACGCTGTACACCTGTTCCCGCCACTCTTTAATGCCATCGAACAGGAGGTCAAGGAGAAGACTAATAGACTTGGTAAGTTCTACTGAGAAGAATATAAATAGAATTATGTAGACGCTGCAACCCATGATGATGTTATTCTTCTTCACGCTTTTGTCCAGTAATGGAATTTTCAGGATGTGTATAACATAGTTATAATAACTAGATATCCTTACTAATTCCTTCCGATTTATAATATCCTTACTAATATTATAAATCGGAAAGTGGGTTTGTTTGTTTGTTTGTTCCAACTTCACGCCGTAACTACTAAACCGATTGCATTGAATTTTTGCAGACGTAAAGTTAGTAGTCTGGATTAAATAATATGGTACTTTTTATCTCGAAAAAAATGATATTCCCGAGGGAAAACAAAAGTATTGGTATAGATGGCGCTGTATAGATTGGTATATGTCACATAGGCTACTTTTTATCCTTTTGACGCGCGAGCGAAGCCGCGGGTAAAAGCTAATCTTTTATATGCGAAAAAAGATTTGTATGAATCTTTCAACGAATAAAGATTGCCTCAGGTTGTAGAATTATAGTCTCAACATGTTATGTAACAGACTGTAGGTGGAAATCACGTTCGTATGTACCATATTCGATTTAAGCAAATGTGTGGCCTTCCTTAGCAGAAGTTTATCAGTTCTAAATAATAATAATACGGTGTCTCTTCCTAGGTATAACAAGCTATGGTGTGTCAATGACAACTCTGGAGGAGGTGTTCTTGAGCTTGGAAGGTGAAAACGCTGAAGAAACGGAAGCTGTTGAAGGAGTGTCCTCTGTGAAGCTGGTTAGGGCTCGCGCATTATCCAGGAGTTTGTCCTTACAGAGCAAGACATTGAGTTATCAAGTAAGTTTTTTAAAACTTTATCAGACTCCGTGTTCTGATTAAAAAATGTTATCTAGTACGTTTCGTTTCAGCCATATTACCTATTAGAGGTAAATTATTATAATTCATCAAATTTTTAAACTTTTTCTAGGAACTAAACGACAAGGACGGTCAGAAAGCGACATCGTTACCAACCCCACCAGCATCCCACGCGTTACATTCCACCACACACGGCGTTGAACATGTCAAGGTACTGCTAATTTTTCAAATTCAAATCATTTATTGCGAATATAGGTCAAGTGTAGATGTTACAGTAGGTATTATAAAATTAATTATATAATAATTTGATCAGCTACATTCTGCCAATTAGCATGCAATACTTATTTGTGAAAATTACAATTTATTATTTATTACTTACCTACATTATTTGAATTAGTCATAAGAAAATATTAATTACAATTTTGTACAACATTAAGACTTTGACTGCCAATAAAAAACTGTTGTAAATCCTCTGCTAACGCCGGTCACCGGTGACCCCCATGGCGTTTAACGTGTTAAGGATTCCCATAAAAGTCTATAAAGGTCGTATCTACACTCGTACACTAAATTGAGTTTTATCTAAAGTGTTTTCTTTTACTTGACTTTTTGAATCAAATTCTTTCGATAAGTATTCTTTCATAGGATATGTCGGTAAACGAGCTGACGGATCACCTGATGGTAAGCAATCGGTGTCGCCCTTGGACACCTGGAACATTAGAGGCGTTACAAGTGCGTTACCGGCCTTTTGGGGATTAGGGATTGGAGATATTGGGGAATGGGGGGTGGTAATTCGGCCTTCGGTATCCTTACTTACACGATGAAACACAACGCAAGCGTGGTTTCACGTCGGTTTTCTGTGAGGCCGTGGTATTGAGCCGGCCCATGCGTGCCGAAGCATGGCTCTCCCACACTTAAAAATGATGAACATATTTTATAGATTATCTTTTCTAAAAATTCGATCCGACTATCTGATGGAAAACTGGATTGAACTTCATAAAATCCTTCAGCATTGCAAATAAATGAGCTGTATTAATGACTAATCTCATATTTGCAGGTGGCTCCCGAAGTCCCAATATCAGTGGATGCTCTAGGCGAGACAGTGAAGACGAATCCGACCTGCTGGAGAACATTCTGCGCACTGGTCTACATCAGAATGGTGCGGATGATCAGGGACCCTTACAAGCTATGGGTCATGATTTTGATGCCTATCAGTAAGTTTTTCATGATACATAACGATGTTAAGAACTTCTATTACTTTAGATTTAGAAATAGTAAAAGTTGGAATATTTGCTACACCTGTTTTGATATTTATAGTTTTGATATTCTGAAAATGAATGGACTGACCATTATTTTTCTAATAAACTAATTAATGAAAACTCATACTAATAGGAGTAATGCCTAAATAACCAACAATGCGTAATAAATGGATATATTGCCGCATGTCTCGATCACTAAGCCAAAATACTATTTTATTAAAAAGAGTCTTTAGCTTATCTTTCAATGACGTCCAAAGTTATTAAAGTTTACTCCTCTTCCAGTATCCTGCGCCCTGGGTCTTTACATGAAGTCGAGACAGATCGTCTTCTTCCGAATGCAGCCACTCAAATTGGACCCGAACGCATACTTCAATAAGACTCCCATAGCCGTATACAGTGAACAAGACAACATCAAAGAAATCACAGACTTGAGGGACTCCTTAGAATCTTTAGGAGCATATCCCATCATAGATTTTGATGGGAACTTCTCCAGTCTTTTAGATATGGAGAACTTTGGAGCCTTCAGCCTAAGAGACAGTTTGATTCCCTATGGCAAGATCATGGCCTACTACAACAGTACTTACACGCACAGCTTGCCTATCATCGTTAATTTGTTGGATAATAGTGTTTATAGGTAAGTTGGGAGAACAAACCAGTTGAGAAAAGAATTGGTTTGTTGTAAATACTAACCACCATTTGTTGGTCTAACAAAATTTGGAGTAGTAATTTTGGGCCCATTTTCCCAGTTTTCGAGAAGAAGCCATTGCTCAGCACGGGTGACACTTATAGGCTGTTGATGATGAATTTTGGACACTACAACCAGTTACATTTCTAATATCCTCTCAAAACCCGATATCTATTGAAGATCGTCACAATCATCATCTGATCTCGTTCACTGCTGTAACAATAATACTCCGTTGAATTCAATCCTCAGTTTTTTCCATTCACCATTGATCAATTTGCGGATATCCTGGTCTCCTAGGACATCTAAACTTAACTTAACTTTTAAATACTTCTTTCTTCCTCACAGGGTTTTAATGTCAGCATCAGGTCTAATAGAAAGCTTCAAGCCCATCGAAGTGCTAACCCATCCATTTCAACAGACGGAACAGCAGGAGGAGTTTAACTTGGGCAACGTGGTCTGTGCTATATTCATGGGCATGATCTTTGCTCTGGTGCCCGTCACACTCGCTGTGGATATCGTGTATGATCGAGAGGTAAGTGGAATAAAAAATAGAAGATTTTTGCTTTTATAAAGTAAAATGTAACTATTAATTTGGTAATCTGAATAACAGTGGGACAATCGAAGACCAAGATTTGCAAAAGCTAAGTTAACTATAATCTTTAGTTTTGACTTTTGAGATATATAAAAGTGTATGACAATTTTTATACTAGGAATGGGTTAAGGTTTGGCCACTATCGGGCCTGGAGGTAAGCCATGATGCGGTCTACGATGGAGCACGCTTACCCATCAAAATATAAAAGCTATTATTCGCATTACTCAAAAGAGCTTTTGAAAGCTAAATTTACCATAATGTTTGTTTGTCAGTGCTTAAGTAAAATGTTTAATATATAATTATTTAAAAATTTTATTGTTAAAAATAAATTAACATTTTTATTGTCTTACAGATCAAAGCGAAGAATCAGTTGCGAGTGAACGGTCTGTCGATGAGTATGTACTTCCTGACGTACTTTACTGTGCTTATCTTCATCATGATTCTCACCAGCGTTGGAGTACTCGTCTTGGTGAGTTATATAAAATACCAACTTAAACTTCTACTCGTTAACAATTAGGTATTTATAGGGACTGGGCACTAATGGAATTGCTTGTTTTATGATTAAAAGTTTCACAACTAGAAATTGATCTCTTTTCTCTTCTTATATAAATGTGTTTACAAATACTACTTTATTGGTTAATTGATGTGAATCTAATAGAACCCTCTCTACTTACAAATTATAAAAAAAATAAACTACAGGATCCTGATCAACCCATCGACGAATTAGGTTCTTCTTCCTTCTTTACTTCTTTTTCTTTCTAATTATCATTTTATGCCAGAATCTGGAAGATAGCTTGAATATTCATCCATGTCTTAAAGAGGATATTTATCAATCGATCTCAAATCTTTATATCATCCACCAGGTAATCCTCAACGATATTCCAAGCCTTACCAATGGCTCAGCGATCACAATGCTCTCCGGCCTTCTCCTGCTATACAGTCCGTCCGCCATCTTGTTCAACACGTGCCTCTCCTACATCTTTGACAAGATGGACTCCGCGCAGAGCATCATGCCTAACATCACCACCTGGGTCGGCGTCATACCATTCATATTGGTCGCTGTTCTGGATACGTTTAAGTGGGGTAAGTTGATTGAAAGCAAAGTTTTTTAGGAGCATACAGCACGAGTATATATGGATCATCTGATGGTAAGCAATTGGCGCCAACCATGGATGCCCACAGCACCAGAGCAGTTACAAGTGTAATGCCGGGCTTTTAGGGATAGGGGTTATGGGGATGTGGAGATTTCTTGATTTGCGAATTGCTTTGGTGATTTAAGGATTTAGCGACTGAGGATTTAGTTTAAAAATTTCATGTTAATTTTTGGAATAATATTTTCAGGTAGCGACATCGCGTTCTACTTACACTTGACCTTCAGTTTCCTGGATGTGATGTATATTCCTTACGCAATAATATACTACGTTGATAGGTAAGTGTTCACCTCAATCAATATAAAAGATTATGAAGACATCATAATCTTTTCTGTCCTACAGTCGACTAACACATTTTTTATCTTGCTCATCTTTTATTTGATCACCTCATTCTTTTTAGCTAATTAATTGTATATCGTCTAATAATAATCCTCTAATAAATATTGTACCCACATTTGGAGCCAGACAAAACGATCATATCACGTCAAAATCTATCATTAGAAGCCATATCTACCACCGACAAATAGCTTATTATAACTGTTAGTTGACCACAAAACACTTTCCTTCTTTATTATTCTACCAGAAATTTGATCTCCTCTATTCTTCTACCAGGGTATACTTGACATGCAACCTGCGCGACTTATGCACGACGCCGCCACTGAGCAGTTACTTCACGGCAGAAGTGTGGGTGTTACTGGTCGCCATGTTGCTACACGTGCCATTGTCAGGGGCCGCGCTACTGGCTGCTGACAGGGTCAAGTCTGGAGGCCGGATATGTCCCGTAAGTAGATAGTAAAATATGTATCCATGATGTAAGAAAAATTTAAAACTATGGTAAACGAAGAAAATAACCCTATGAGCTATGTATTAAAAAAAAATAATAACAAGATCAAACAGTTAAAAAGTCTTTCTATCAAGTCTTGATTGAGAAAATAATTTTATTTACAGTTTATTTATAGTGGTCTTGACCATGTTTGGTTGGAATCGGCTGGATAACCGGCTAATCACACAAAATTTGTGGATTCGATTCCTACCTAATACAACTAACAGAAATTGTTATTCGTAATTTATAATTATATTTGTAAACGTACCCCAAGACAGAAACAATTTCTAGCGTAGTGGGTGGTAAAATGGGGAATGAATTGATTTTTTTTACGTTATTAGCGTAAGAAAAGTACATCAGAAAGTGGAGGTGATGCTGAACAAGAAGCAGGAGGGGAGGCGGGGGAGGACGAGGATGTGAGACGCGAGCGACGCCGGGTCGCAGCCATACTGCAGCAACCCAAACATAGCGCACCGCCGCTTGTCGTTCATGTAAGTCTACTAGCATTTCATTTTCATAGAAAATCATCATCATCAACAGTGATGACTTATAAACTGTGGGTCTTCCTATCAAAAGACGGGTTTGCTTGCTTTACAGGCGGATTGTATAGAAAATTATCATTTCATAGTTATGTTTCTTCTTTTAACAATTTAATACGTCTTAGAAAATATTTTTTTCAACTCATGATTGCATCTTGTATTCTTCTTGACATTTCAAATTATATTTTTGGTTTTTGCAATATGTCCACTTTTGGCCTTCTACTCCTCACATAGTGCATTTATCTTTTCTTCTATCACATTTCCTTTTGCATTCACATCTTATGTCATCCTTTGTTTTCGTACCTACGATTCCTTCTTCCATAACTTGAGATATACCTAATTGATCATTGAATGTGTTGAAGAAATCCTTTCATGGTCATATTTGGCAACTAAAAGTATTTCTCTTTTTAGACTACCTAAAAAAACTCAAGTTTAACTATCGTAACTTTTTCACAGAACTTACGTAAAGAATACAAAGTGCGAGGTACGGGCAGTGGAGGATCATGTTGGACACAGAAAGAGGAGACATCCTCCAGAGTGAAGTCTCGGTTCGTAGGACTAGCACGGCTCAGTCTGGCCGTGGAGGGAGGGGAGGTGTTCGGTCTACTGGGACATAATGGCGCTGGGAAAACTACCACCATGAAGATCATCACTGCGGAGGAGAGGCCCACGCATGGCAGTGTGAGTGTTTTTGTGCAGTTTGAGTTGATGAATGAATGATATGACGGTGTTTTAGAATTTCATCTATTTGTAGTAGGATTTCTTAGAATACCTGTATAGACAAAATGTTTAACGTTTCCTGATATACTTACATAAATACTTATTTATATCAAACGACGTCCAATATATTTATGTTGGCCTTGGTCTAGTGCCAGTGGTGGTGATAGCCTCTGTTCGCCACATACAATTAATAAAACAACCAAATTACCATACGGCGCGTCGCGTTTCGCGCGCGCTTCAAAGAGCCATCAGACCACCACGGCTGGGGCCCAATAGGGCTGATGCCGATACGGAGCCGCGGAGAACTTAACGGGTTACCGGGGCTCCGGCTCGAAGTGCAGAAGTAGGAACGGGGTGGTTTTTAATCAGTAAAAGTCTGACATTTCCTCCCGCCTCACCCAGGCGGGAGAAGCCATTCGATGATTTTCCCCCTTAAAAAAAATCTCCTATAATCTGAATATTATTTGTCATGAAAATCAGTAAACCTGACCTTCCCTTTCACAGGTAATGCTAGGCAGTCAGAACATCGACGACTCCCAAACGTCAGCGTTCATGATGCTCGGCTACTGCCCGCAACATGACGCGCTGTGGAAGAATGTCACCATCCGGGAACACATCGAGTGCTACGCAGCCATCAGGGGAGTCAGCAAGGCTGATACTCCTAGGTAAGTTGTTATGATGATAAGAATGGGGACATTTTTAATACTAATCCCTTTTATCCCGTCCCCGTTCGTGATTTTCGGTTAAAAGTTTGGTATTATATGTGTCCGTCTCCTGGTTCTGAGCTACCTCTGCACCAATTTTCATTTATTTCGATTTAGCCATTCTTGAGTTATAAATAGTTTAACTAACACGACTTTCTTTTATATACATATAGATATAGATTTATGAAAATTATGATGTTTATGTCGAAACTAGACTCAAGTAAATAGATTTGTGGCGCAACCAAAGAATTATGGGTTAACGAATTTCATGGTATTTGTGATGTCTTTAACTGAATTTTGAAAATGTATTTTTCATTTAAACCTGATCATATATCGTCAGCTATACTGTCTAAGTAATAGGTATGGATGGGGACACAGTTAATGAGTCAGTCAGCTGCACTTTAAAGGATTTTTACATTGTAAAGTATTAGTTATCTAATTTTTAAGGACTATTAAGCCTTAATGAAGGGTATGGTAATCAAAGACCTACCTCCAAATGGTCAACCATGAAAATTGTAACATTATCTCAAAATAAGACTTGTTGTGGTCTTCAGGATAGTGGACGCCTATCTAAACGGTCTCCAAATAATGGAGCACGCGAATAAGAACGCGGACGAGTGCTCGGGGGGCACGCGCCGGAAGCTGTCGTTCGCGCTGGCGATGGTGGGCAGTCCTCGCGTCGTGTTACTGGACGAGCCCTCCACTGGCATGGACCCTCGCAGCAAGAGGTTCCTCTGGGACACCATCCTCGCTAGCTTCCAGGTATGTGATGATATTTGGATGAGTTGTGAAGGTTTGATACAGGTTGTGGTTGGGCTTCGAAAATTTGTTATGCTTTTAGAAATGAAATAGGAAAGGTTGTTGAAATGTAGCAAGGTATACAGATGGGAATTATTTTCAAATTAAGCATTTTATTTAAAAAAACTCCTTTTACAGACACTTTTGAAGTATCAGTTTATTTAGCTAAAAAATAGAATTACTCGTAATTAGTGGTGAAGCTATGAATTAGGAAACTATTGTACATTCACGTAGAGATAACCTTGATATAAATCTTTTAACTAATTTCCCATAAAAAATCTATGTATTAATTGAATTTTAGTATCAGTGGATAATTACTTGCAATAGGTTTAAACTCATTCACTGACCTATTATTTAGATCCACAAGCAAGGATAACCAATAATGTTTTGTCAATTACCTACTTATGACGACCTACTAATCCACTTTAGATATAACTAATGAGCAACAAAATGACATTTCATCCGATAAACTAGTTCGTTAACAATAAGGTACCGTACCTCTAAATATAGGGTATATACCTTTTATTGTAAAATAATTTAGATGTGACTTATTTATATTCACAGGGCAAAAAAGGTGCTATATTAACGACACATTCCATGGAAGAGGCTGATGCTTTATGTTCCAGAGTCGGCATCATGGTCAAAGGTGGCCTGAGGTAAAATATATCTACAGCAATTTTAAAAGTTACTTAACAGCGTTTCTATTGTCGATCATCATCATTGTAATCTTCTTAACCACTTTCCATAATTATTACTTGGGGTCTGGGGTGGAAATCGGCTGTTTTCTTCTCCCATTTTTCTCCTTTCTAACTCTATTACGTCTACGTTATAAACCTCATTTTTTTACATTTCTGTTCTGTCATATCTTTTTTTTGGTTTTCTTACCATGTTTTCTCTCATTCCTTCTACATTCAAGTTTTTTTTTATGGCATAAGCCGGTAAACGAGCAAACGGATCGCCTGATGGTAAGCAATCGGCGTCGCCCATGGACACTTGGAACACCAGAGGCGTTACAAGTGCGTTACCGGCCTTTTGGGGATTAGGAGTTTGAGAATCGTTGGGGATTCAGGGATTGGGGAGATTGGGGAAGGGGAGGGTAATTGGGCCTACGATAACCTCACTCACACGACGAAACACAACGCAAGCGTTTGAAATCAATTCTCGTTTTATCAATATTTTCATTAATTACAGACCTTTTGAGTTTCTTTTTCTTCTGAATAAGCATAATTTTAACATGTTGTTTATTTCAGTTGAAAGTATCGCTGCTAATTGCTTAATTAACGATATTGTTTATATTTCTTAGATGTATCGGCTCAACACAACACTTGAAGAATTTGTACGGAGCAGGTTACACACTGGAGATGAAGATTGGGAACAATAATCAAAAAGCTAATGTAAGACAAATCCTTCGTATCATACAGTAATGGCGCCCAAACTGGGACTTTTTGGGCAACATGTTAAATTTTTTTTTGTTTTTATCTGTAACCAGATGATGGAGTCAGAGTCACTGTCACCATCGCCGCTCAGATCAAATGAGAACTCACCATCATTAGGAGAAGCAGATGAAGGTTAGTCTTTTATGAATGTACTAAAAAATTTTATCTAAAAATGACTAACCACTTTCTGCCATAAAGCCGTCTCTTAAAATAATGGTAAAATAGAAATACTACTCCTGCACACATTTACGTTCGATTCGATTTTTTTAGTGTTTTCTATATTAAAAGTGTTCTGTAGTAATTGCATTATTTTGCTCATTTAAAAAACGCGTGGTTACCTTACCTTGGCTGTCATGAAAGTTACTGGAAAGTGGTGACCTTGCTCGTGGATTTAATTTAACAGTTTTGATTGTGACACATAGGTTTTAAATAAAATTTTATCATTTTGACTAGGAGGTTCGAACACGGGCTCAGTATGCGCGGAGGCGGAGGGCGAGGCGGAGGCCGTGGACGCCAGCATACACACGCCGCTAGTGGCCGGTACTCCGCCGCCGCCCAGACTGCAACACCATCGGTAAATATAAATATAATAGATAATATCGGTAAATATAATAGATAGAAATGTGTAATGAAAACTACAGAAAATATAAGTCACACAATCGCAAGGCCTTAGTTTAAGGTTTTTAGTTAATTAACTCTCAATATTGTGGTATATAGAGGTACTCTCAATATATAGTATAAAAGTACTCTGAGTTTGGAAATAGATTCTCCCTAGTACCGTGGTCCTAACAACATCACTAGCGATCAATATACCACACATGTCTAATTTCGCCAAGACAAAGTCATCCAATCGTTTTTTTGAGGTATGTATGATACATAAAAAATTCATTAGTTATTATTTATTTCATTTAGGACGGAATCCGGTGGAGGTGGAGCGAATTCAGAAGCAGTGATAGCGTTAGTGGGTCAGATATTCCCCGCGGCAGTACTAGAGGAGAGCTTCGCGGAGCGGCTCGTGTTCTCCGTGCCACAGTCTGCTGTCTCCAGCCTCGCCAGGTGTTTCCAGCAGATTGAGGACGGTACGACAACAATACAAAAGATTTTGGTGCCCAATTAAGTATATCTCTCCGGCCTTTATTAAGTAATTTATAATGTGTCGTAGGTGTGTTTCCAAACATACAAGTTCACATACACATGACGCCTAGACCCGGAACAACAATTTGTGGATGACACAAAGAGTTGCTCCGTGCGGGAATCGAACCTGCGACACTTTGCGCGACAACCGGTTGCCCAGTCACCGCACCAACCAAGACGTCCCATGTTGGGCGCCAATTTTTTAAAAGTCACACTAATATTGCTGTTCTTGGTGGGATGTTTTTTAAATGTACTGTTATTTGTATACGCTATTAGTATTACTAAAATAATAGTCAATATAAGAATTTATTATATTGTTATTGCTTACTAACGAAGACCATGTTGGGCGCCAGTAGACTTTCTTCAGAAAAAAATAATAATATTATTTGTTCATTATTAATATTAATGTTATTTCTGTTACAGCGAAAGAAAAACTAAATATAGTTGAGTACAGCTTCAGTCAAACGACTTTGGAGCAGGTGTTCCTGAAATTCGCACAATCTGAGAATGTCGATTCATCAGACTAAGAACATAAACCGTTGATAGTATTGTAAGTGACACGGCACTGTTCTGACTTGGATTCAATTATAGGTAAGTAAAAAATAAAAAAGTTTAACTTGATACACCTATTTTGAACTTTTGTGAGCAAAACTGTTGAAAAAATGTCAGTACTATAACTTATTTGAACTCATTAATCAATTCTAGAAAACTATATCAAAGATATGTTTTTAAAGTTGTTATCTTATATCTAATTAAAATGGCAGCTAATAAAAAATTAAGATGCAAGTAAAACACTTTTGCTTCCAAAAGATGAGCAAGTCAAAACAGTGCTCGTATTTTGTGCTTTTGAAAAGAAAATGTAAAATAAGAAATCGCTTCTGATATTGTGTAGTTCGTTTAGTTGAATTCTGTTTATAGCCTTAGGAGTCATGGGAAACTTTTTATGTATATCAATAAGATCATAAGCAATAGCTTATAAACAGGAGAAAACATTGTTTCCTAGAGAAAATATAAAGATGAATATATTATTCTTGCGAAATTAAGATGCGTTGCATCATGAGTTTAAACAAATATCTAGTGTGACGTCAATTGTCAATTGTATTACCTACTTTTGACAACAATGATTTTAGAAAAATGGTCAATAATCCTGCTATTAGGCTATAAATGTCGAAAAAAATGCCATAAATGACAGTAGTAATAATAAATAATTTGACCATTTAGAAAAACAATGAGATGCATCAAAAGTTCCCTATGACAAAAAGGCTACAAGCTTTGTAATATTTCTGGTCGAAGAGAGAATATAACCTAGGTGTGTAGACATAGGACACGTTGACTGTGTGACGTTTTATAATGATTTGATACGTTTATTAGCCACTTTTATATTGTATTAGGTAAACTGTCGATTAAGCGTTGTGTTTATTGATCGTTACTTCGAACTTAAGAAAGAGATGCAACCAATTTTTGTGATGATGGAAAAATTGGTCAGATTTTTTTCTGAAAGTGCAAAAAGTTGCTATTTGGTAGTATAAAGAGAAGGATAGTCAGCAACTTTGAGGTTGTTCAAGGTGTACTGTTCATTAAAAGAGGTTTAAGCACCTAATAATATGATCAATCAGGTTTAGACTCTTTGAAACTTATTTTAAAGGCATAAACTAGATATTCAACAAAAATTTAAATTGGTTCTGAAACGACGAAGCAAACAACAATAAAAACATACCTAACAGATTCTTTAATCTTGAAGCCTGGTAGGAAAATATCACAATTTTCTAGATACATTCTCCATATATTTTTTCCTTTCAGTATTGGCCAATGAACACAATACTTATTCGCCTTAAATAGTATAAAATCATTCACTGCATACGGTCTAACAGTGCCTAAGAACGTTTTGCTGTAAACCTTATGTGAATATTAAATAACAACAAAATCAATGTGATCTTTTTAGTTTTAGACGAAACTTTTGTGATTGTTTTTCTAGTCGGAATATGTGGTTGGATTGTTTTGTATTTGGTAAGGATAAAAAAGACGTTATAATGTCAATAATGGATGAATATACAGGCGGGAAAAGAGAAGTAGCATGTATGTATGTAGAAAAGGACTTAGAGAGAACAAAGATTAGGCAAAAATAAATTAGAAGCTGTTAAATTAATTATGTTTTACTCGAGAAGTTTCAAGCCACGCTAGGAGCCCTTAACCGGAGTCGCTCAAACAGTTACGGAAACATAATTAATTCAATTCTTACAAAAGTTATAATGCAATAAAAATTAGAAGCTGTTTTTCAGAAATGAAAATATTGTTATTCGTCAACGTTAACTTGTTATTAACCTTTAATTCTAAGACCCAAAAAATCCAGATACAAAATAATCGAACCACAGACAAGTTAGTTATAATTTACTATAGAATTTTACAATTTCATAATAATTATGTTGCTATGTTTGGTAATGTCAAAACTACGTATTACGTATATATAACTGCGATTGTTGACAAATTGTCTAAGGAAACTAGTCTTAAAATAATGCGGACTATAAAATATAAAGAATTACTGAAATTATTCAGTTTCAATTGCCGTCGCCGCCGTGTCGGGTGCAATGTTATAGAGTTTGTAGGGGACTGATTATAAAGTAGGTACCTCAATTACGTACCTACGTAATAAAAATTAATTTCTCATATTAAAAAAGTGAAAAAAGACACATTATTTCTTAATGTTGTACTTAGTTTTCTATAAAATCAAAGTTTGTGATGTAAAAGCTAAGATAAATAACTGCTAACGAAAAGAAGTGAAAACTAAGAAAGGGAAAGACAAGAAACTCAACCAAATAATGTAGTATGAATGATAAAATAGTTGAACTGTCACATCATGCAATTTCATTTGTTAAATCCGCCTTTAGATGAAATGTTATAAACTTATTTATATAACTGTAAGACACTCAATCAGTCCCCTGCCAACGTCTGCATAAATTATAGCTATTTTAATATTCTGTTAAATATAATGAAAGGAACTTGTAAATGTTCAAAGAAACGTTACTCCGAGGAATGAGTTTAATATTATCGTTACTAGGTTAAAACATCTTAGGGTTACTGACAGTATTAGGTTAAGATCGCTTTTGTATCAGTTATTTTTGATCGAAATCTACATTATTATTTTCTATTAAAACTTATATTTTTTGCCGCTTTTATTGCTGTACATTTTTGAATAAAAAGGCTTCAGTTAAATGTAAGTTATTCGAAATAAGGTGTACCAATTTTCGCGCCTTTAATTACGTCAAAGATCACCACAGACAATAAACAACAACTATAGAGAGATTGTTAGTAAACCTCTTTGTTGAAACGTTAATCATAGACAATTTGGTTCTTTTTCAGCTAATAAAGCCAGAGGAATAAATATGGTTCATATCATTGTTTTCAATATATCACAAATATTCATGATCTGTGTATAATAATGAGTAGTAGCAAGCGTAATCTCAAAAATTAACGCATGTCACCTCGTTTACCTCAGAGACGAAGTACACTGAACACTGTTTTATCAACGTAAGTATAGTCGTTACTTTCCCAGTGACAAGACAACCAGACATCATTTTAAAACAAACGGAAACGCGTCAAAATACGGCAAATATTAGTCTACGGTATTCATGCAATTTATTTTCCTCTGCTATCGTATATTAAGCCTATTTTAAACTCATGTCCGTCTCGCATTCTCGCATAACTATTGTATCTAGCGATTATAATAATATGTATAATCCTAATCCTTGCAATAAGTTCCTTAAATCTATGTTATTGTAGAATAGGGATTAATGTTAAGTTAATTAAGATCATGTTAATTCTACATCAGAGCCGTATTATCCCAAAGGCGAACTAGGCAAGGGCCTATGGCGCTAGGTTGCACAGTGGCGCCACAAGACGCGCCAATGCTCGTAGTATTGGCGCCAAAAAAAAAAAAGGGTGTCTATGAGGTACTTGCCTATGACGATGTCTAGGATTAATCCGGCTCTGTCATACACTTCATTAAATTTCCTCTGGGCTTTAAGCATTTCATATCATTTACCATTTAGTTCTTTTAATGTAAAGGTACAAAAGTTATATCAAATGTGTTAAATTCGATTTTTAAGAGGGAAGTGTAAAAGACTACAATTATTGTGTGAATAGCTTTCGAAGCTGGGACGAGCTAGACGTTGTTTACGCTTATTTTTATTATTATCATTACTTTGAACGTTTTGCAATCAACATTGAGAATGTTTATAGCGAATTCAGGGTCGTTAACCTTTCAAATTGAATACTATTCTATCTTTATTCCCTTTAAGTATTGGGATATTATGGTCTTAAGTTATAAGGTGACTGAAATGATTGTTGCTAAACTCTGTTCGGTTGTAAAAGTATTAAAACTCTAATAGGTAATCTAAATTGAACTATAAGAAGCCTTTTCAACCAGTTTAATAACTGAATCTTCAAGACAATGTACACTATACGAATACACAACCATTTTAAACGGCATTAGCAATACTTTTGCTCCCGTCTCAGAGATTTGCAACAATTAATTACTTACCTTCATAGTAGCTTTAACCTTGGACCATAATCGTCTACAAGAAATAGTATCCATGACATAATTACAACCATACATTACATAACGAACATCGCTAATTCATCTCAATGTTAATTGTTCAAATTACATCTCTATAGGTATTTTTATTTTCGCATAAAAATCTTTGTAAATGTAACGCGCTAACTTGAGATTCGCGAGGTTAGCCAAATCATAAACATTCACATTTTACAAGCATGGAGTGTGGGATTGCGTGCCTCAAGGTACCAATTTTATGAAACCTCTTTTTAAACACATAATGTTCTAATTGAGTATCAGAAATAGGCAAAACAGTGTCTTGCCTGATACCTACAATATCTCTGACTGTAATTAATGACCGACTTGAATTTAAAATCTGGGTTTTCGACAGAAATTCTAGAAAAGTCATGTCAAAGATCGACCTCAGTTCAATGACTTTAGATTGAGATTTACTCTAATGAAAGACAAGCGTATATTACCTATGTATTGTAGGATGTACCTACCTAATAACTGAATATTAATTTACCTAACTGTTATATAAAAAAAGTATAGAATAAATGATAATTCTGATGTTTATTTCAAAAACACTTAAAGAAATGCTTTAACGTATAGTAAATGCTTTTACTGTGTGTCTTTGTGTGTGTAATTCTATAAATTAACAAAATATTATTTACAAAATGTCTGAGTGATCGTATGAAATTATGATATGTTACTGTGAATATATATGTTACTGTGAATGTATTGTTAATTCACGGCAAGTTAGTTTAACAAAATTGAATAACGAAAATGAAATCTTTATTGGAAAATGTTACATGATTATTATACATTATTAAAGAGATTAAATATAAAGTTTATAGTTTAAAAATGACGAATCATAAAACAATAACAAAAATGCGAAAATAAAAATACTTGATAATTTATTATAATAAGAGCCGAATCAGGCGGTCTGTATGTGCTGTTATCTTATAGTTTCGTTTGTTAGTGAATTTTAGTCAATTAATTTAGTACAGAATAAAACATCCGACACGATCAATATGATTTTTATTTCTTATCTACTTTAATCCAGCAACTTTACCTACATAAATCATATATCCTTCTCCGTCCTTCCAATTACCTACTATGTAACCAGTAAGATCTTGTAAGTAGACGAAGTGTAAAGGAATAACAAACATAATTTTGCATTTAAAATTTTGCATTAGTTACTAGGCTAAACAAACCTGAGAAAATAGGAGAAGGAACCCTAACTTATTCTGAAAAATAAAGCAATTTATTGTTTTTAAATAATAACGCTACTTATTAAAATAACAATACCAAAAAAACTTAAAAATTTGAAATGAAATTCCTATTGCAGAGAGATTTTTCAAGTTTCTATCTAACACAAATACAAGGTATTAATTATACTTATTAATTATATATTAA